CCGAGAAGAGAAAACAAGCCATTTTACATTCAACATCAGCGTAATCCACAGCTGATTGCAAAAGACCTACCATTTTTTAAATGTGTGGATGTGTGTCCCATTTTGGAGATATGCCCCTCATCCTTTATAGATGAGTAGAACATCTCAAAGTCCTCTGGTTACTTTGAGGGGAAGTCGGAGTGTAGTTTAAACACAGCTCAGTCTGGTCTCTCTCTCTGTTTCTTGTCCAATGTCACAGTCTCTCCATTTTCTCTTAAATAATCTCCTTTCCTTCCGCTTTCCCTTTCATGCTTTTTTGGCTTTTATATTGACTACAATATGTCTCTCTTCTCTAATACTTTCTTTTATTTTCCTCTGATGCCCTTCTGTCCTCCTTCACTCTTATGCTTGGTCTTAAAACGAATTCATTCACTGCTGTCAAAACTAATCAGTATTTATACTAAACATGTCTTTATTTCAGTTCATTTACTGTTACTGGCGACTAACCTTACTCACCAAGCAGACTGCTGGCTAAAAAACAGCATTAAATATCAAAATATCTAAATATTTTGTGAGGTCCCGGTCCTGAACTGACCCACATCTACCAAAAAACAAAAAAATAATACACATAACACAATATCACTCGCAGCACACTGCCGTACGCAAGCAAACATGGAGGCCACTGAAGTCTCCGTTTAGGGTTTCATTTATAAGTCAATGTGCAGTGAAAGACAGTACATTTGTGGGCAGCTGATAACGGGGATGAGGAGAATTTTTTTTTTTTTTTTAATTATGGCTTTATGCGGAGCAATTGCTGCTGCTTCCGTACAAAAAGTGTGTGTGGATGAGAAGTCGGAGCAAACGCAGAGCGGTTACGGATAAGACCCCTCAAGTTTTGCCTGTACAGAAGTGTCACATCTCACTGTTCCTCCACTGACTACCTCCATCGCAGCTGAGTGACTCCCGCCAGCACAGAATTCTGACGAATGTCGATCTAGAGTGACATAATCGCACATGAATGATCTGATAGGACTGTTAAAGCTGAGTTCGCACTGCAGAAAATCAAAACCTGTGTCTGATTTGGACCACACATAAAAGTAACCCAAATCAGAAGTGAAAAGATCATATTCCACGTGACTGGAGCAAAAAAAAATAATAATAATCTGATTTGGGCCACTTTTGCCTGCAGTGTGAACAGAGCCTTAGATCCACTGCTGTTTCTCAGTGCGGGCTACTCCCATCAGGAGGAGGATGAGAAGGATGAGAAGGAGGACCTTTTCTCAAGGCACATAACCTCTGACACATCACTAGTGACCACCTCAGCAACACACACTGACATTTTTCCTCAATGATTCTATGGCAACAATCCATCATGCCTCAAGCCCTTCCCTTCACCTCTGACTAGAAATGCAATACCAAGATATATTAAACACACAAACACACACACACACACACACACACACACAGAGATATCATATCCTAATCAATAAGTGTATTGTTATTTCAGCCCTCTACTCTGAGTATCAATAGCTTCATTGTGATTAAAAATATACTGTGCCTTTGGATAAGGTTAAGGCCAATGACACGTGTCTGTTAGTGTGTGTGTGTGTGTGTGTGTGTGTGTGTGTGTGAGTGAGTGAGTGAGTGAGTGAGAGAGAGAGAGAGAGAGAGAGAGAGAGAGAGAGAGAGAGAGAGAGAGAGAGAGACACACAGACAGAAATCAGGAGCCTCTTTTCACTCTTATGTTCAAGAAAAACTTGCTACCAAAGACAAACCTGTGACCGCTAGCAGGGTGAGTTAGTGGCCAAGTTTGAACCAGAGACATCTACAGGCAATAAAATAAAATTTACCGTCTGCAGGTGAACACCTCCAAGACCAAGGAGATGGTGGTGGACTTCAGAAGGAAGAAACCACATCTCCAACCTGTGTCCATCGAGGGGGTCGATGTGGAGGTGGTCAGGACATATAAATATCTGGGGCTGCAGCTGGGTGACAAGCTGGACAGCAAACATGGACACTTTACACAGGAAAGGGCAGAGCTATCTGTACTTCCTGAGAAGGATGGGGTCCTTCAACATCTGCAAAAACTGTTGCAGATGTTGTACCAGTCTGTGGTGGCCAGCGTCCTCTTTTATGCTGTAGTTTGCTGGGGAGGAAGCAACAAGAAGAGAGACACCAGTCGACTGGACAGACTGGTGAAGAAAGCTGGCTCAGTGGCGGGCACAGAGCTGGACTCTCTGGTGACAGTGGCAGAGAGAAGGACCCTGGACAAACTGCTGTCCATACTGGACAACACCCACCACCCTCTGCACAACACCTTCACCAGGCAGAGGAGTGTGTTCAGTGGCAGACTGCTGTCCCAGTCCAGCTCCACCAACAGACTCAAAAACTCTTTCGTCCCCCATCAGACTGTACAACAGCTCTCAGTAAAGGCAGGGAGGACAATGGACAATTTCTACCTCCATTTGCACTGCTTACTGTTTTGCACTGTTTACTGTGGCTACTGTGTTATAAGTCAATTTTATTTTAAATTTTCGTTTAATGTGTGTTTAATGTATGTAATGTATGTTAACACTGCGTTCATTGTCATTGTCATCATCATCATCACCATTATTACACCATTAATCCTCATCATCGCCAATGACGGCACATCGCTGTAAATAACGCCACTGTAACGCCGTGCAGTATAGAGCATCATACCATGTATTTAGATTAAGGAGCTTTTAACTGCACTGTTTCTTTGAATATAACATCAAGACAAGTAGCATTAAAGTATTTGCTGTATCTTAGGGTGTGAATTACATAAACGAGAGGCTGCTCGATATGTATACGGCGTCACAGAAGATTACTAATATAGTATACTGCTATAAATAAAATAAATGGGTGTTAAATATATGATCTGTTGTATATAATTGAGTATTTCGCACAGGGTGGAAAAGCTCTGGCATCCACACATTGCATTTCAGGGCGAACATATGAGCTTGTATCTGATGTACTGCATACAGTTAATTAGAGAGGTCAAACACGATTGTATTTGAATGCACCATTCCAGACTTCTCAGACAATCTGCAGTTTTAGGCCAAGTCTATTTGTGTGGGCTGCCCATATAAGTTCCATACGGGAAGCAATGTAATCCATTTGGAGCTCCCCCCCACGCCCCCATATTAAAAACAGGGTAGAGAGGTATAGCTAATTCAAATCTTAACGAGACAGATGACTTAAATTATGAGAATTTCGGGACCCAAAACTGAAGCAAGGGCCAAGAGAGGTTGGTATCATGCAACGCTGCGTCTTCATGGTCCTTACATCTCTTATTAACCTCTTACCATTGCTCTGTAGTCAGATATAAGCGATGCTCTTCCGTGGATTAGACTCATAATCCTCAATTAGCGTATCATATATTGAACTTGTGTCCTTTAGGGATTTAGAGGACTTAGAAGCAGGACTAACTTAGACTGGCATGAAGGAATTTTGGCACAAGCATGACAGGGTTAGTTGGCAGCCTTTCCCATTAGCCCCCAAATCAATGCGGGTGTAGACAGTTTAATAAATAAAAGACCCATGGTGATGAAGAGCTGACATTCAACAACAAAGTCAAAGTCGGTACTCAAACCCAAAAAGAAAGATGTTTAACATCATAAGGAACTTTAGAATATGTCTTAAACCTACTCCAAGGAGTTTTTAACTGGTTATGCGTACATATTTTTATCTGACTTAAACATGTTATTTGTCTGATTCTGTTTCACCTCTTTGAAAAACTAAAAAACAAAACGTCATCATCGTTTCATTTCTTCTACTATCCCAACTTAGATTCTCACAAAATACTCTATAAAGCATCTGCAAACGATCAATATGTTGCTGTAACTGCAGTAGATTGTAGTTTCTGCCTGAAAAATGATGATAAGCACTTGTTAAGGGTGATGCCCAAACAATGAAACACAGATGAGATGAGATTTCACCTCTGCTCTTCCACCTCCAGCTGTGGAGGATACATGCTCTACTGCTGAAACAGACGCAGCAGCACACTGCTGAATACGCATGCTTACCCAGTCAAAACTGCAACTGCATGGGGAAGGTGTGTATTAACCGTTAACACGAATCTGTCATGGTCCTTGGATCGTGTGCTGCCTGTGAGCCTATGGCATGGTCCTCCGCATTGACTGAAGGTCTTTTGATAGATAATTAAATCCAATAGCAAGTTACTGGAATCGCTTTATAGAAAATGTGTCCCAGTTGTGGTGAGCAAGGAACTTCCGATGCATAAATAACAGTCTGTACATTTCGTTATTGGCGTGGGTGGAAAATGCTAATGTTGTGAAGACATCAGCTCTCCAAAACAAAGTACTGCTTTATGAAGCTGTGGCATTAACAACACCTTCCACCTGCGTGGTTAATGTGCACATACACAAAGTCACTGTGCACAGGGTCACGCTATTGCATTATATTCTCCTGCATTGGTCACTGGCCATTACAGTGACCCAATCAAAATAATGTGATAGTCTGTCAATCCCCTTACAGGGATGTATTTCTTCCAATAGGTCAGAGCAAGGACCTGAAGCTGGTAGAGATTGGTGTCTTGCTCAGAGACACTTCATCCCCTCATCAGGTCCGATATAAGAGCTGGACTCCTGGTACTTTGGTTGAAAGACAGTAACTCTGTGTAAGGCACACGGTGCCCTCTCCCTGAACTACAGTTCTTATGGCATCCATCCAGTGGCTACTTGCTGCATCAGGGACTGGGAGTTCAGTGTTTGGAGAATTAGCTTAGTGGATCATGTTGATTGACATCTTCATTTAGAAATTATTCAGTTCACAGTTTTGGACTTGAGAAAACAAACAATCTCGAGACATTTCCATCTGTGATGGTCTATGTCTGTGACTGCGTGTCATCATACACTAAAAATTTGGACAGTATTTGAACAATGACCTCTGTATGTTTGTGTGTGTATGTGATTCCACTGTACGTGTCCAGTGGACGTGTTTGGAAAGTGTGTGTGCAAGCATGGGGGGTGAGTGCTGACCTTCCGTTCTTTGTCTCCATACTCCAGGCCCAGCGTATCCATGGCGCGCACGATGGCAGCCAGAGATTGGATGGTGTTGCTGTAAACGACAGGCTTGTACTGCTTTACGTCGTCGCCAGAGAAACCGTCCTCATGGATGATCCTAAACACACAAACGCACACACATTGGTCAGTGGGTAATGTAGGTTTGGCATTGCTTTTGTGCACAGACACAGTAACAACAGCCCTTCACATACTCATTAAACACATATCAGTACACAGAAAGCAAGAAAACATACTGAGTGAGAAATAAGTGTGTGTGCATTTATAGTCAGGTTTACTAGCGGGCAGATAAAATAGTTAGATTAAATACACTATGAAAAAGTTAAGTAAACGTACAATATGTAATTGGAATGCTGTGAAATAGCGGGGCATCATGGGAGTTTTTTTTACCAGGGGCATAATTATCCACAGAGGTTTCCTCCTCTCAGGAAACAAACGGACCCGGTGATTGAAAACCGGTAAAAATACTGAATAAAGCAGTTTCACCTAAAAAAAAATTGGTGTTTTTCCGTTCACTGTTCAAATCAAATGAATGTTCAATGGACAAAGTACATCCCGTTGGGCCTGTGAGCCGAGCTGCTGCTAATGTTAACTCAGCTTGTTTTCCCTAAAAATGTTCAATGACTAAAATCCTTCATCTGATTAAAATATATAATTAAATTCAATCCAATTCAATTTTATTTGTATAGCACCCAATCATAACACAAGTTATCTCAGGACCCTTTTTTAAATAGCAATAGCAAAGCAAGTCCAGACTGTACTCCAAAATTATTTACAGAGACCCAACAGTTCCCACCATGAGCAAGCACTTGGTAACAGCGGCAAGAAAAAACTTCCGTTTAAGAGGCAGTAGCAACCAAGATCTAAAAAGTTTATTTTAAAAATGTGGCTTACACCTGGCATGCACAAAGGGGATACAATGCCATTGACAGGCGACTGGTAAAACACACCGTTACCTAAATAAAATTACAGGTTTCTCTGGGTTTGAACTTTGTTGCAAACATTTGGGATAATGTGAGCACACAACTCAATAAAATATAACACAGGTCTAGTCTTTATAGACATATTAATGCAGAAATGTTACACATTACAGCTTTAAATGTCATTAAAATAAGACCATGTGGACATCAGAGGTGCCAAATGCAGTGGATGTGTTGCTGGGATATATTAGAAGCATTGGGTAAATAAAGGAGAGAGAAGGTTTTGGAAGAATTGGGGTGAATAGAGAGCAACACAGGTGGTTGAAGAAGGGTTACAACAAAAACACAAAAGAGCGAGCGGGACTCGGGGGCAGGGAGGGGAGGGTCCATAACCAGTAGGCTAAGCTGACATTTAGGCACACGGTGCTAGTGGCAGCCCATCCTGCTGTTTTAAATGTCACACTGTCTTTCACTGCAGCTGACACAAGGCCACACCGAGAGACAGACGCAAAGACAGACAGTTAGCCGGGCAGACAGACTGACAGGAGGAGAGACTGTACAGATGGACAAATCAGACAAAGTCAAACAGAGAGAGACGACAGAGAGATGGGCAGCCAAGAACAACAGGCAGGACACCAGAAAACAAGTGCCTCATACAGACAGACAGATACAGGTTAGGGCAACAATGTGAGGCAATTCAGATAGACAACATCCCCACACATAAATTAATGGGGGTGAACAGCATCTCCTCACAGAAAGGACTGAGGATCAAACCTGGTTCCTTCTTGAATCACTCTAGTCCTGTATCTGTCACTACCCCCAGTATAAGAGCCCATTATTAATGCTCTGCCCTCCTGACACACCATAGAGATTAGCTGATGGGCATACCACCCACTGATCTCCAGATAAGTAGAAATATATGTATGCCACACAGCCAATCACTAGTCTACATCTTCAGACATCATGAGGCTAATGAGGTTAATGTCAAAGAGCTTCAGTCTGTATCATAAAAGTACCTCATTTTGACACCTGGTCCCACTTTTTAACAGATTTATCCGAAAAGCCAAAGTGTCACAAGTTCAAAACTGCATGTGGCTATTCAGATTTGTCCATGTGTTCAGAATTTACAGATTTGTGTACACATCCACAGATTTTTGTACATCTCACAAGTAGCAAGGACTGAGATAGAGTTTCACAACACTCCATACACATTTGCAAATAATGTTGCTATAATACAAATCTAAAATGACATTAACACAGCTGAAAGAAGTGAAGAACAAATGTAGCCATTGTAGCAGGCCCACATGGGCAGCACTGCTGAGCCCAGGAGCAGATCTAAATTTGTTTTCCTTTCGAGAAGTTACAATGTACCATTTTACAACTTGGATCAGAAGCATGGAGGTTCTGCTGAATAACATTCAAGAAATACTTGAATAATACCACTGTAGTGGTAATGAAGTCTGGTGCAGGATAGCTGAATTAAAGGAATAGGTTTTTTAAGAGTTTTATAACCTATAATGGGGATATCAAATACAATGCATTGTTATATAGTAAATTAAACCACCCAACAGTTTAAGAAAGGATTAGAAATGGCTCTCCTGCAGCCAGCTTCAATAATGAAATGCATGTTCAATGTTACTGCATCGATAATAATCTAAAGCAGCATTTCCACTGCATGGTGTGGTTCAACTCGGTTTCGGTACCTCTACTTTTGTTTTCTAATGCACACACCCCCTCACCATAGTCAGAGCTGATCGTCATAGTGACGTTATTCCTGCAGCTGTGAAGCAACACACAGGAGCTTTCATTTACTGACAAACTACCTACAATCAGTCCCAAAATGAAAGATGTCCCGAGGACAATAACAATAGCACCTGGGACACAAAGATACAGCGCCTGGGACGATTCTGGGACAGTGGAGAAATGTATCATCACTAATGGAATTATAACGTTTATGCACCATGGAATATACATAATTTGAATTAAACTTTATGAGGTGGCACCGGCAGTGTTGACCTGGGAGCTTTCTCACTAGATCTGATGTCAACTGACATCACTTGAGTCAGTTTATCAGATTTTGCACAGCTCCCTCTGGAGCCACAAAAGGCTTTACACAACCTTTTTCACATATTCTGTAGTACTCCTTTTAACCCAGTTCCCTTTTAAGACTTCCCCACAAGTACTGTCCAATTTTACTACTCTGGGGAATGAAGGGCAAAATGATGTGCATAAAATCCACATTGACTCTGTGCCCCTTTTCAGACGAGGACTTTCCTTTATATATATATATAGATATATATGTGGGTCAATGACGTGACGCCCAAATTTTTTGTCCGACTCTATTTTTTACAGTTAAAAAAAGGTTTAAATGCATAAAAAGAAACCACAGATATGCAATATATCTCCCACATATATACCTACTTTAACCTTTCAAAAACAGTGAGTTGTTGGCAATTTTTGTGCTCTTTAACGTGTCAAAATATCATGTGGTGCGACTGTCCGGCCTTAATTGTTGTTTCGAAAACGTCTTTAAAATTACCCTAAATCTGTTCAAATATATTTTCTTTCCTATTTGGCATGATTTTCAAGTGTTTTTCATCCTGTACAAATTTTCAAAGCATTTGTAGTTATAGTTCCATTATAACATACAAGCAAACTTTGTCCGAGGATGTCCATTTTATAAAATATCATGTGGTCCGACCACCACAAAATTACCACTTTGGGACTTTAATTTTGAAATCCAGTCCAAGACAGGAAGTTGCATCATCCAACAGTTTGCCAAGAACCCTTGGAGACAGCAAGCAGGTTTGTTAATCTTTCTCAAATTTGATAAAAAACATCGCTTCTAACGGTTGGTATGTAGTTGCCATATCTGGATATCATGTGGTATGACCTCCAAAAATTATGAATATTAAACTATTTCTACAAATATATATTTTTATTATAAATTTCAAACTCGCCTTTTGTGTGAAGCTAGCTTGTTTTGTTAAGGAGGCTAATTATTTGCCTGTAAATGTTGACTGAACGTGAAAATATCATTTGGTGCGACCAGATATCATGTGGTGCGACCATTGTAGGGTGTTTTTGATGATAGATATATGTCCTAGATAGGTAGTTTTTGTACTTTTATATATTATATATATATTATTTTAAGACTAACATACAAAAAGTACTCTACATTAATATTTATTGGAATAGTTTTTTGTACAATTTGAGCATTGTTTTCCAGATATTTCATAAATGAAATTTACGTTTAGTTTTTTGTACAATATCATGGGAAAAATGTAAAAAAATGTAATTTGTCATTTATTTACTGTTTTAATCTATTTTACCAGATGCCACTGTCAAGCAAAGCAAAACCGCTCGCCATAGGCAGCGTGTTAATGCTGACCCTGCGGCAAGAGAGGAGTACCTTGCTAGAAGAAAAGAAAGCTATCAGAGAAGAAAACAACAGGGAAAGATTCTATATGTGAAGTCAGATGATCTGCCACAGAGAGAGAAAAATAAACAAAGAGAGAAATGGAAGGCTGCATCTCGTGCTTACAGAGAAAGGAAAAATATGGCAAATGCTATATTTGATCTTACACCACCATCTATGGAGGACATTCCACCAGTTCTGGTTGATGTAGATGGGGCACAAGAAGATGAAAATGCAGGCCAAGCTGTGGCAGACCCCATCCTTGTTCAGGATTTTAATCCACCAGTGTCCTCCACACCAGATAAGAGAAGGAATACAGCAGGGAAATATTGCAAAAGACTACAGAAGAGAAGTGTGAACTGAAAAAGCAGGTCATACATCTAAGGAAACAACTAATTGAGATGAAAAACGAAATGACAAATTCAGAAAGAATGAGAAGAGGTTAATGGCAAGACAAAAAGAAGCCTAAGTGAAAAATTCAAGCAAAGGGGGTCCAAGAAACTGTCAACAGAAAGGAAGCAAGCAGTTGTCAACTTTCTGTCCAGAGATGAAAATAGTCGTCTTCTAGCTGGGAAAAAGACACCATCACCAAAAACAAACAGAAAATGCAAAGAAGAGTTTTAACAAAGCCCCTTCTTGAGCTCCATGCACAGTATCAAACAGAGGTAGAACAGCATCTCTCCATATCCTACAGACAGTTTGCCAGAAAACGGCCTTTTTATATCACTGAGCCAAAGACCAGGGATAGAGATACTTGTGCAT